TTATATTAAATTGTTTATGGGAATTAAATAGTTTATCTCGTTAAAAGACAAAGAAAAATCGATTTGACCATGCAAACTCATTGTCTTATTCTACAATAGGCGACATTTTTGCGGAGAAAAAGCACGATAAAATCATCATCATCTCGAGTTAAATGTGTTTAAAATATTTAAAATTCGACACCGTACCGAATTTTTTTATATAGAATAATAGAAAATAGAGTGGAATTATCTGTCCATATGTTTGATTTTTACGACATTCTGGTGCTTGGCAGAACTAGTTGGCAAGAACATAATCACTTATAAATATTCTCATTGCCTATCCGAGAAAGAAACGTTTCCTGGGAATGTTCCACTCGACTGATCAATGTTGGTGAGAAAAAACCAATCAAACATAAATAAACAATGTTCGTACCAAGCATAAATTGTCATCGAACAATACCGTCGCCGATTACTTTGGATTTTTTATATTTAAATACTAGAAAAATTAACGGGTAATCTAAACGGATTATCAATATTGTTCTTACAAGATAAAAAAAAAAAAAGTATATATCTATATATATATATTTAGAAAATTCCTGTTAATATTTATTTAAAAATATGGTCCTACTTGTATGATAACTTTTATGGATATTGTTGGATGGTAGAGGGTTATCATCTCCTTAATATCTGATTTGTGATAGAAAACATGTGGTTGGTGGCATCCAAAAATCAAAGCTATGTTCTTCGACAGGTGCCCGGGTCCGCCATTTTGTTATCCACAGGTGTTCGGTAGGATCCTCACACACGTTACATGCCATCGCACGTGTAGTACGAAGTCGAGAAAAGACACACCGGTAACACGAGAAATTTTGACATACCTGGTAGTGTCATCAGGTCCGGTGCTGGTAGAACTGCTACATCCAGTCTTCGGCTTTCCGACGTCCTGGCTAGGAGGTTTAGTTGTGGAACCAGCTAAACTTGACAAACCTGTCTTTTCGACCTCCATTGTCAGCTGGTGTGGAGAACTGTTCTAGCCGGTTGACTTTCACAAACCTGTTTCAGTACGGAAACTGGCCAACGTATAAGTAGGCCGGAAAGCTACTACTTTATAGAACGTCGTAGCCTTTCTCTGTCTAGTAATCGTCGGTTAAACAACGCCAGTCACTGGATGCGTCTCTCTACACAAGGTCCATCCCACACTCTGCGCCAGGTAAAGAAGCCTCCAGGTGAAGTAATGGCGGTTGTAACTTCCCATCCACTTTGTTCGACTAGTTGTGTGTTGTGACCAGTGTCGAAAGCCATCCTCACATCTTGACATCAAAAAAATACAATTATTTTTTACATTGTTTACGACGAATTTTATGTGAAATTATTCCCAACGTACGAAAAGTGCATTAGATCGCGGTCACATGACTATATCTATACAACTACCTTTCTGACGTCATCAGGTTCGTGAGGTAGGTACCCGCACTGATATATATATATATATATATATATATATATATATATGTTCTTACCAATTACTTTTTTCTCCATTTATATGTGTATATATAATTATTTTATTTTTATTTTTATGGCTAGAATAAAGCGGATACTTTATGTACGAGTGGTGTTGGTGGTGTTTTATTTAATCGCACACTCTTAACACACACACACAAAAGAAAAAAACATGAGACATCATATAGGAAAATAGCTAACGAATTCGTGTAAGTAGGCACATTTTCCTCGAATTTTGCAACGTGTACGTCCATTAATTATGAATCACTTCAATGCCAAAATATTCTCAGATAACGAATTATTGTTTGAAAACTGCTCACTGATTATTTTCTCTTGTGTTCACCTAGCCTTAGGGTATCTTCTCCCTACCGAGATTAGGGTGGAGTATACATTTCCCCCTTCTGCCTCGGGTTATTCTTCTCCTTCTTTCCTTCTTATAATGATTTTACTCAACCGAAAAAGGTTACAAAATTCACCTTCTTTAACTTCCATTTTCGATCTGATAAAGGAGGTTCGTGAAAGTCTCTTTTTAAAAACAAGGGCGTAAATATATATATTTTTTAAATGGAAACGAAATTAAAGTTTCTATGCAAATCACGTGCTTCTTATGTTAAATTATAAGAAATATTTACTTTCATTACCTTAATTATTTTATAAATTAACCTATAATCGCACCCATTTAAATATTTTTTTAAAAAATATGCTAATCGCCGTCTTATTGGCTGTTCTCGCTCAGTTTCGACCAATCGGGCGAATGGGCGGAAACGTAACATATATTAAGTCTCATGTTAAAAAAAACATTCGAAAAATTCCGAAATAAATAAAAAGTAATTAAAATTCCTAAATAAAGTTTAAATTTAATTAAAATTAAACTTAAAAATTCTCTTAAAACGCGAATTAGTGACGTAAAAAAGAGCGCGTTGTTACACACGTTTACATACACGTGTACACGTTTTATGTGTTTTAAAAAAAATACGATTTTTTTAAAGAAAAAATTCAATTTTAAGTAATAGAAAAATGTTTTTTTTGTCGCTTTAAATACGTTATTTCGAGTAAAAATACAAAAATCGATTGCGTAACTCGAACGGAAATGGCGAAGGACATTGAATGTGTCAAATCAAGGTTGTTAATAAAAGAAAGGACACGGGGTCAAGGTTTTTTTTGGAGATTCTCTCGTAACAAATGAATTAAGAGAGAGAGACGAAGAGATCCCGTGAATACTCAATTAGTTGTTGACAATTTTGTAGGAGAAAGAAAAAGAATCGTTGCCAACTGACACCGGAGAGATCGATCAATACGATTCTCCTAATTTACTAATTCAAAAACCATCATTTTTAACTTATAAATATAAATATTTTAAGTCCCATAACCGATGGAGATTTATAATTGTTCATATTTTACCTAAAACTAAGCCATAAATTAAACTAGAAGATCGTTTGTGGCCTATCCACGTGTTGAGATTTTGATTGATTGATCAACTTTAATGGCTCGATTTTGCCCCCTATAAACTATGCCTTCGAGTGTTTAAGATGGAATTTTACCTTGCTGATTACATATTAGTATGATGGATACATCGAATCTATTAGTTTTTAGATCTGTTTCCTAGAAAACGGGTTTATATTTTTATATATATCTTTCGTGTGTTTTTACAACGTAGAAAACTTGTGTTTTCGAATGGATCCTGTTACCGTTCTATATTAAAAAGTAGCTTAATAAAGAGAATGATATGTATTATAGTATATAAATTATAAATAATTAATAAAACACGAGAAAAAAAAAACTTATCTTGTGAAATATTCAAGGGCATATGATGCAATACAACAAGTGGACTACGCCCAAATTTATCTACTTTTTTCATAAATTATTATTTTTCTGCTTTCATTCACACACACACGCAAACGAGGGGATAACGTTGAGAACGTGCATCAGACACATCAATTCGTCTATTTACTTAGAAACATCTGCAAACTTTACCATTCTATAACATTATTTGAGTTATTGAAACACCTTCTTTTTATAATAATACATTATTTTATGGCCGTACGACAATTATTTTTACGTATATATTTTTTAACATTACACACGTTCGTCGTTTAACAACTAAAGACAAAAGTTACGTCACAGGAGGGCAAGACGGTCTCTTATCGATTGATCTCAGGCATCTCTTCTTGCCATATAAGGATGTTGGGTGTATCACGTGAACGTAGATGACCAATGATTTGGGAACGATGTTGTGAGACACGAAACGATTTCTTGGTAAACTAGTGAAAATTTCCCTTCGGGCTAATTTTGTTTAGTGGTTACAAAACGTTAAGAAATAGAAAAAGAAATAAATTTAACACAACGTTTTTTTTTTTTCTTTTAAATAATAAGAAAGATATAATTAAAAACGTTAAATAAAATGAAACTTAAAAAGGTAACGTATTAAACAATGTATTAACAATGTAGGGCCTCACTCTCTACCAGGATACAGTTTATGTCCTCGTACGTTTGTAGATAGGAAGGGCCTCTTATATACTATAATTTAGGGCCGTAACAAGTATAAATTCGTCTATTATTACTGTATTAAGTTATATTAAAATATGTAGAGAAGAAACTATATTTACTAACAAAAATGTGAACCAGATTTACATATAAAGTAAGCCTTACGTTTTTGTAGAGAGGAAGGGCCTGTCATAGTATATACTCATATAAATTATGACCATAATAAGTATAAAATTCGGCTAAGTTGCATTTAAATGTGTAGAGAAGGACATTAATAAGATTAACAAAAATGTATAAACATAAACTGTATTACAGGGACTAGATTTATGTATAGGGCCTCACGCTAAGAGGATACAGTTTAAGGCCCCACTTTTTTGAGGAGGAGAAGAACCTCTATAGCTGAATCTCTTAACAAATTCTACTGCGTTAACGAGTGTTAAAAAAAGGAGGGGAAACTGTAGTATATAAATATAATTAAAAAAATACAAACAGCTAACCTATTCCTACACTTTATATAGAAATATAAAGAGGAAAATTCATAGATGAAGTTAGTTGAAATTATTAGGTTATACGTCAGTTGATATTAATCTTATATACTTATTTTTTATAGCCAATTATAAGGAAATGCGTAATGGTTATTTGTAAATCATAAACCTCAAATCATAAATAAGTTCTACAACTCTTCCTATTATTATTATTGTTGTTCCTTCAGCTACTTAATATAACAATAAATCTATCCAATTATTTATATAATTTTTGTGGGTCTTTTTTTTTTTCTTCTTCTTCTTTTCTTTTCCTCTTCTTTATATCACTCATAATTAATATTATTCTATATTAGTGTGATGCACTTTGCCTTGTTTTCTATATCAATAACACGAGTAGCCTAAAGGGTAAGCTTAAAAGTTCAAGGCTTTCTTGATATACTGCCAAAATATTTTCTGCCCATATAATTATAACTTGATTTGTATGGCACACTATGGTCTGTTTATTGATTAATTATTAACTTGTATGTAAATAATTACAGGTAATAACGTTGTTTTTAACATCGGTTGCCAGTTTTTTTTTTTAATTCGAAGGTTATTTTGTTCGAAAGTTATTATTTTATGTAATTTTTAGATAATAATCTTAATTTTTTAATTAAAATTTCTGGCTTAAAATGCCATTTTGTTATTAAATTTTTTGACTTTTTTTTTTAAGACACTTCTCATACGTCAGATGTGAGCGAAGACAGTAAAAAGCTTAAAATAAAAAATGTAAAAATATCTTTATTAATTAATTAAGTAATAATTAATTACAAAATTTAATAATAATTTTCAATTTTTTTATACATTTTTACCACTTTTTTTAAGCTTTCGAGATGCAATTTTTACTCACATATGACGTAACCGAAACACTTGAAATATTAGAATATATTTTTTTAAATTTTAAATTAAATTGTCTTTACGAATTAAAAAATAAATAAAAAATACGATAAAACAATTTAATTCGCTTGTAATTATCCATCTTATGTAGTGATAAGCATAAATACACCCTAAAGCAAATCCGTCGTCGATTCCCTTGAGAACATCCAAAGTCTCGTATGAAAAAAAAAANAGAAGCTTAACAACAGAAAAACTATTATTTAGGGCCTTTCGAATGTTCTATTTAATATTTAAAAGTGGAATTTAATATATAATAATTCTATATAAATTTGGCGAGTATATGAGGCCCGAAATAGAAGTAATTACTGTATTTCTATTTAGGGCCTGTGATGATCGGGAGCCTCAAGCAAAGCGTTTAATTGGCTTATAGGTTAATTCGCCATTGAATACCGATGTAGCAGCTCATAGAAGGACTAGAGAGCTAAAATTTAATATATTTATGAGGTTTATAGTCTGTAATTTAGTAAAATTTACATTCAGTTTTTCTACGTAGCGCGTTATTTGTATTTCCTTTTATGGGGCCTATCATGAGTTATAACGTTGGAATTTTATTACACGCCGTAGGAATAGGCATTTCGAATTGGATGAATTTCTTCCTTTTTACTCAAAATTTTTCCTTTAATTTATAATAAAGGTTAAAAGGTGATAATGGTTTCGTGAATCCCAGTTTCGCGGAACATCCGCAGCATTTAAATGAACTACAAAACGCCATCTGCCGACTAGAAATGATTATAACGTTTAAATATTTATAAATTCTCTTAAAATATATAAAATAGTAAAATATACTCAATTAAAATTAATAAATTAAAAATATATAAATATTAAAATTATATCTGTTATAGATATTTCATTATTTAAATTCTTATACTAAAAAAAAAAAATTAAATAAAAAGCATATACGCCTGCCATCTGCCGGCGATAAATAGAGATAAACGTTTGAATTTCTGTACACGTGGTTTTGAATTTCTGAACACGTGGTTTTTTTTAATTTATCTTTAAAGTAATATTTATTGTCAAACTTAAGAAGGAAAGTATTTAAAAAAGAGAAGAATCTCCTTAGATGAATAACACGTGAGAGATTTTTTAATTGTTGCGTGATTATAGGTTTATTTACCCTTTTTTTCCCCCTCACGTGGGCCTCAAAACTGATTTCTGGATATGTACATGCAACTGTAAATTTGAAATTTGATGACCCGAAGAAATCAAATTGAGTTATAAATCTCTTTATCCCCGATAATGTGGGCCCACATCAAGCAAATGTTAAGTACGAGACGTCTTGATTTTCGTGTAAGGAATATATTAAGTAGGTTAAATTGTAGGAGAATGAATCATTTTGATTTTGCAAATTTGGCTTTAATGTCATCACAATTTTTCTTTCTTTTTTTTTCTATTCTAAAATTATAGGTCATTATATATAAT